CCTGTATTGATTAACTCTCTGCTGTAAAAGTGGAAAAAGTAAATTACACCACACTTCAGCCTAACTCCCTATCTCCTCTCTCTCATTTTTTGTTAGTTTTTTTTTCCTTAAGTTTATTCTTTTTGAGGTTGTATCATTTATTCTCTATAACCATATTCCCTCCATTATTTACTCTTGCTTTTATATTTACATGGATTTGCTGGTCTTTACAATAGCTCTGGTAGTGCCGTGGTGAAACACTCAGCTGCTGACCGGAAGGTTGGCCGTTTGAACCCAGAAATAACCTGGCAATCTGCTCCTGTAAAGATTACAGCCAGGAAAACCCTATGAGGCAGTTCTACTTTGTCACATGGGGTCACTGTGAGTCGAAATTGACTCGATAGCATCTGACGACAATAGCGTCTCTTACCACTAAAAGCCTAACCTGTTGTGTTGATTCCGACTCAGAACAACTCTGTAGGACAGAGTAGCCCCGTAGGGTTTCCAAGGAGTGCCTGGTGCATTTGAACTGCCAGCCTTTTGGTTAGCAGCCAAGCTCTTAACCACGGTGCCACCACAGCTCCTCTTTCTCCAAGTTCTTGGTTTTGATTCATTACTTGGCTGACTGTATTTTAACATCGAGTGCTTTTTTCCAGGAGGGTTCAGAGTGTCAGATTGCTTAAGTGTTAGAAAGCGTCGTTGCCTCTCTGACCCAGCCTTAGAGTTGAAGCCTTTTTGCTCTTAAGTTCCAGCTTCTAAGGATGTTAGCAGATCTCTTTACTCTCTCTCCCTCCCACAAGAAACCCTCTTATGAGACCCCACCATCCTATTGCCCCAGTCTGAAGTGATTGCTCTCGGTATCTTGAACTTTTAAAATATTTATTTCAGTGGGTGTTCAGCTTGGTATTCCGTCAAGGACAAAGTGAGGAAGAGTTTATTTGTAAAACAGCATGAAAAAGAGTGTATGTCGTTTCACAAATGGGGGCAAACTGCACATAGTTTTGGAGCTTGCTTTTGTCACTTAATACATCTTAAAGGTGCTTCCATGTCAGTTCATAAGGATCTCTTCTTTCTCTTTAATGACTCTCTAATAAGTAAGTAGCGCACTGAGTGGATGGTACCCTGCTTAATTACGTGCCATTGAGGAGTGCGTGGTTAATAATCAGCGGAAATCAAGATCCCCACTTTCCCCACTTCTCTGGCCTGACATCAGCTGCACACGCAGCACTCCCTCCCCTGACCCTCACCACCTGGAGCCAGGTTGGAGCTCAGAAGTTAAAGAGTGCACACAGTCCTCCGCGCTGCCAGTTAGACCCAGGGCTTCAGATGTCTGCTGCAAGGGCCCTCCTCCCTGCTGACCTGCTGGCTCGCGGGTTTGCTGGTTTGCTGGAACAACTCACAGAGCTCCTGGAAGGTGCTGCTCTATGATTACAGATTGGTTACAGCAAAAAGGATACGAACAAAGAGACATACAGGGCGAGGTCTAGAAGGGTTCCCAAAAAGGGATGCACTACCCTTCCACGGGCATCGATGTCTTTCACCAGCCAAGAAGTCCATGGAGCTTCCATGGAAGGAGCCTTTACTGGGGTCTTATTTCATAGTCAGTATTGATTGAATCAGCCCACATCCTCTGAGGTCCACTGATGTCCCAAGATGGTCTTCCTGTCCTGGCCAGCCCCTACCTGAGTCTCTTCATTAACATGAACCTTCCGGTGTGGTCTGGAGCCCTCTATTATAACAGAGACACTTGAGTCACTGGGGAAATTTCATGTTTTTAGAGTTTATCTCAAAGCAACCAAGGGCATACACCAAATTTTTTGGGTAGAGTTAATGTCAACCCCACAAGGAGCGTTCAGTTTACTTTTATGAAACGTTTACCATTCCCAGCAGGTGCTACGGTGAATAGCTTTGTAGGTACGCCATTTTTTAGTGTATTTGTAGGCTCAGTGCCTACAAATGAAATTTCTCTGTCAAAGAATATATACAGCTGTTTTAATATGAAACAATTCACAGGCACAAAAGAGAATTTATAACCTGAATGTAAGGAAGAGAGAATTAAAACATTCATGTACCCACCACACAGTTAAGTAATAGAGTGTGACCAATGGCTTTGAACCCCCCTAAGTTGTTAATGGAGCCCTGGTGGTGCAGTGGTTAAGTGCTCAGCTGCTAACCAAAAGGTTGGCGGTTTGAATCCACCAGCTGCTCCTTAGAAACCCTATGAGGCAGTTCTACCCTGTCCTATAGGGTCACTATGAGTCGGAATTGACTCGGGAACAGGTTGGGTTTTTTCAATCATTAGTTCCTCTCCCTCCCCTACAAGGACAAACGATATTATGAATTTGTACAAGGGCAAACGATATTATGAATTTCTACAAGGTAAACAATATTATGAATTTTACATTTATTCTCCCCTTCTCGTTATAGAATCACTATATACTTATGAAATGCTAAAGAACGTGTTAAGTTTTACGTATCTTGGTACTGATTACAAATTATTTCAAATTGTATTCCTCTGCAGCTTGCATTTTTCATCAACGTTAAGGTTTTTGAGATGCAGCCACATTAATGTTAATACCACTGCTTCATTGATTTTCCCTGCTGAGTAGTGTTAGGAGTTTCTGGGTGGCACACACAGTTAAACACTTGACTGCTAACTGAAAGGTTGGAGGTTCGAGTCCTCCCAGAGGAGCCTCAGAAGAAAGACCTGGTGATGTACTTCCACAAAATCCGCCCTTGAAAACCCTGTGAAGCGCAGTCCTACTCTGACACACGTGGGGTCACCGTGAGTTGGAGTCAGCTTGACCACATTGGGTTTTTTTTCTTTAATTGTGCTTTAGGTGAAAATATGCAGAGGAAATTAGTTTCTCATTAAACAATTAATACACGTATTGTTTTGTGACATTGGTTGCCAACCCCGTGATGTGTCAACACTCTCCCCTTCTCGACCTCGGGTTCCCCATTTCCATTTGTCCAGCTTTCCTGTCCCCTCCTGCCTTCTCGTCCTCGCCCCTGGGCTGGTGTACCCCTTTAGTCTCCTGTACGTGGTTGAACTACGTATGTCGTTGTTTATGTTATGGGCCTGTCTAATCTTTGGCTGAAGGGTGAACCTCAGGAGTGACTTCAGTACTGAGTTCAAAGGGTGTCCGGGGGTCATACTCTCGGGGTTTCTCCAGTCTCTGTCAGACCAGTAAGTCCGGTCTTATTTTGTGAGTTTGGATTTTGTTCTACATTGTTCTCCAGTTCTGTCTGGGACCCTCTGTTGTGATCCCTGTCAGAGCAGTCGGTGGTGATCGCAGGTGATGCTGGACTCAGTCTGGTGGAGGCCGTGGTAGTGGTGGTCCGTTTGGTGTTTTGGTTTTGGGTAGTGTTACATGGTGGTGTGAATATACCGCAGCGTATCCATTCTCTTATCTGTGGTCATTAGTGTTTTGCTGGTTTTTTGCTGTTACCTCTAGTGCTTCTGTGAGCGTCCTTGTGTGTGTCTCCTGGGGCACATGTGCAAGAGTTTCTCTAGTATATTCCGAGGGCTGGAATCACTAGGCCATATGGTATGCCAGTCTTCAGTTTATATAGGTAACTTTTTTATTGAAGTGTAACATACAAACAGAAATGCACAAATCATAACAATACCTCAGTGAATTTTCACAAAGTCAGTATACCCACCCAACGAGCTCCCAATAAAGAAACAGAACATTGACCAGCCCCCTAAAAGCCCCCCTCGTGCCCACTGTTAGTCACAGCTTCCATTCCTTGCTCTGCCAGGGGCGCAGTGGTTAAAGCTCTCGGCTACCAAACAAAGGGTCGGTGGTTCGAAACCACCGACGGCTCCACAGGAGAAAGACGTGGCAGTCTGCTTCCGCAGAGATTTACAGCCTTGGAAACCCTGTGGGACAGGCCTTCTCTGTCCTGTAGGGTTGCTGTGAGTTGGAATTGACTCAGCAACAGTGGGTTTGTTCTTTGGTATTTTGACTTACAATACAATAAATTTTTTTTTTAATGTACATAAATGGAAGCATTCAGTATGTATCCTTTTGGTCTGGCTTATATGTGTGTATATATATATATAATATACATATAGTTTTATTGCGGTAGAAATATATATATAAAACAAAATTTGCCAATTCAACATTCTTTACACGTACAATTCAGTGACTTCGATCACATTCTTCATGTTTTGCTACCGTCACCACTGTCTGTTTCCAGATTACTCCACCACCGTCGACAGAAACTCTGGGCCTGGCTTCTCTCGCACAGAGTTAGGTTTGCGAGCTGTGCCCGTGTGACGTGTGTAATTGTGGTTTGTTCGACGTCAATGTGTCATTGTTTGACTATAATGCAGTTTATGCGTCCATCCTACTGTTAATGGGCCTTGGGCCGTCTTTGGCTTTTTCGCTATTACAAACAGTGCCGCTCTTCACATCTCTGTTACTGCGTGGGTGTAAGAGTTTCTCTGGAAACTATATCAACAATAGAATTGCTGGGCATGTAGTATGATCAGATTGAGTATAGTATGATCGTATAATATAGATCACTTTTACGAGATGACACCAAGTTACTTTCCAAGGCGATTGCACATAAAACCATTGCTGTCGTGTGGGTTCTGACTCATAGCGACCCTATAGGACAGAGTACAGCTGCCCCACAGGGTTTACAAGGCTGTAAATCTTTATGGAAAGAGACTGCCACGTCTTTCTCCTGTAGGGCGGCTGGTGGGTTCAAACTGCCGACCTTTCCCTCAAGCACTGCACCTCCAGGGCTCCTGTGATTGCACACACGTGCATTTTAAATCGGGGTGCTTTGTTGGTTATTCTTTGTGTTTCCACCAGGAAGATACTCCCGAGACCCCGTTTGCCCACACTTTGACTCCAACCGTGCACTGTTACACTTTGCCAGTGTGATGGGTGAGAAGCAGTGTTGTACTGAAGTTAAAACGGACACTGAAGACCATATTTTATAAGCAAACCCGGTTTACAGTGACTGGACTAAAGGTTTTTTATACCAATGGGTTTCTCTTGCAGACCGAGACCTCCGACCACTGTGCCCTCCCAGAGGATCTGGTGAGTATCGCTGCGTGCTCTAGACTGAAGCCTTTGTACCTTAGATGACAAGAACTATGCGTAAATGACAGTGACGGTTTTATGAGTTTCTTTATGTGGTTGCTGATCAAAGACTTGTTAATCGAACATAATAAAATATTATGAAAATGCTAGCAGTGGTGGTATTCAAGGGTGATTTTCCCCTCTGCTTCGAAAACAGTAAGTTCTGCTGCTTTGTATTAAAAAGAAATTAAAAAAAGGAAGGAACAGCTGCCTCGCCACATTCTAGGGATCAGCCTTGTTACACTGGTTTTTCACAGATGAGCGTCTGGCCTTAACTCTGCTTAAATCCCTCTAAGAACAGGAAGAGGAGGGCTGTCACTTGGTGGTCTTAGACCAGGTTCCGCCGCGGAGCTATTTTGTCCTTCCCCTGCCTGATGTGCAAAGGGAAACTTTGTGACATTTAATTTGTCTTCATGAGACTTTCCTACCCGAGTTGGAAAACTCATGGGCCCTGTAACCAGGTCCAGTGACTGGTTGGAAAATAAATTTTGAACTTTTATCATTCTAAGTTTCAGTGATTCAGTATTATTGATTTCCAGTTGTTCTAGATGTCTACAACTCATGCGCTGTGATTGTCGGGCAAAGGGAGAATTGACACCTAATGGATCTACCTTAAATCTACTCAGTAATATAAAGGGGTGTTTGTATGCGATATACATACATATCACATATATATACCTAATGTAATCGCATAGAAATGATATATTTAGACACACACATTTTTACATTTATATTTTTTAGTAGGTTGTACCCTCAAACATTCCCACCATAAAGCAGTAGTCCAAATAATTTTCAGATTTAAGTAGGCAGGATGAGATTATAGAAAGAAAAGTAAAATAACTTGAAATACAGTTACAAGACCTTATGAATGTGTGCGCTTATATTGAGACCTTTTGGCAAATGCATGAAGCATCTGAACTTTAGGACAGGGGTCATAGTCGTGGGCTATGAGGACTTAAAAATTTTTGGAAGAATTCCTGGGTGTTCATCTGCCAGTTATTTATTTTTGTGTTCAGTTAAGAAAGAATCAGGGACAGGTTTATGGTCATAATGATGCACCTTGCCCTTTTTCTATTCCTGTGGATTCTAGGGTCACTTTTAAAGCTTGCGAATTTTCAGTGAGTGTTTGATGAAATATGCTAATAGGTTGGCTGTGTCCAGTAGGATTCCTCAGTGGTGTGTATGTTGGAGGTGAGGGTGGGATTTTGATGGCCTGTTGACAGAATTACAGCCAGATGTCCAGGAACGGTGAGTCTGCTGTGAGAACACACCGGGACGAGCAAGAGCAAGTGCTGGTGGTCAGTCACTGACGTTCCCACAAGCTGTGTGGGGTACCCTCGGATAAGGCCTCCAGGGAACGGGAGTCTGGGGAGCAAGATGGAGGACCTTTCTTGGGCCCTGACTCAGTTTGCCCACACATCTACACAAACCAGAAAGTGGAAGGGAAGGAGAATAGCCTGGGTCCATGGCTTTTGAGGCGCTGACGTTCTATTCTCTGTGTTGCCCAGCGGGAGTGTCATACTGGATCCTCGGTTTCCTGGCTCTTCCCCGGGCCTGAGCTGGGGAGGAGAGGGGTAGGGGCAGGCCTGGAGTGGTGGGGAAGCAGCTGAAACTGCCCTTATTTTTGTACCGTGTAGCCAGGTGAAGGGTGGCCACATGAGACTGTCCTGCTCATTAGTCTTCCCTGTTGTGGGGTGCCGTTGAGTGGATTTCTGCTCATAGCGAACTGCCCCATAGGGTTTTCTAGGCTGTAGTCTTCATGGAAGCAGATCTCTGGGTCTTTCTCCTGTGGAGCCACTGGGTGGGTTCAGACTGCCAACCTTTCTGTTAGCAACCAAGCCCTTAACCGTTATGCCACCAGGGCTCCTTAGTCTCGCCTACCCAAATCTCAGACAAGCCTCCAGAGCGAAGGTTTGTAGACCCAGATGACTTCAGGGCATGGACCAGTAGATGAATGTGTGAAGCAGCTGGGAGTGCTTTTATAGGGGTGTTGGGGCTTATAGTGACCTGAAAAATACTTGCCCCAGATGTGGACTTTGTGAAGTCCGAAAGCCAAAACACATCTCCAAGCTGGGTTCTCCCTGTAGTCTCGAGTTCACAAACCCCTGCTTCAGACTTGATGGCCAGCGGCATTTGGTTGGAGCCTGGAGAACATCAGAGGATCTCTGAGGGAGCAGAAGGTCCTCTCGTGGCAGGTTCTTTGACTTCTTGGAGCGTACATTCAGGATCAGCTTTAGAAAAGGCTGTCTGTCTTCACCTGATCGTGGCAGTGTTACACTAGAAGCCAGATAAATTTCGTCCTTATTGCAATAGTTAATCATCGTGGGCATGCTTTGATCCAGAGACTCCTCACCTTAAGTCACCTCTGCGATGTTGTCACAAGCTTTAAGACCAAAAATAGTTTCTTTTGTTCAGGTCTACGTTTGCCATCTTGTTTCGAAGGTTGTAGTGTACTTTTCCCTCCAAAAGTTTTCTAGTCACCTTTGTCAAAAAGAGGAGCCCTGGTGGTGCAGTGGTTAAAGCACTCGGCCATGCACCGAAAGGTCGGCAGTTCAAACCCACCAGCTGCTCTGCAGGAGAAAGAGGTGGCCGTCTGCTTCCATAAAGATTACAGCCTTGGAAACCCTACGGACAGTTCTGCTCTGTCCTGTAGGCTCACTGTGAGTGGGAATTGACTTGACGGCAGTAGGTTTGGTTTGTCAGGCAGCAGTGATGTTTGAGTACCGCTTAGGAGAGTCATTGTTTATGCTCAGGATCTCAGTGTCAGCGAATTTTAGATCCTAGGTGAAAGCGGGGTGGGTGGTGAAGGCTGACTGGATGGAGAGACGTTTCCCATGTCAGGCTTAAACCTGAGCTCGCGATGTAGTAAACAGGCAGCTTCAGGACTTGTCTGGACCGGTCGAGTTTTTTCTTGGCGGGGAGTGGGCTGTTGCCTTATTATTTGAAAGAACTGTGCGTAGGAACCATTCCTTCCAGGTGTCCTAAGCCATTTTTCCTTCTCAGTCTGTGTCTGCAAGACCCTGGTACAGAGCTATGTAAGTCTGGGTGGGTTAAGGATGGGGGAAGTGAGCGGATCGTCCGTCCGTGGCTGAACCTGTGTGTGCCTTTCTCGTTGGTCTCTGCCCTATTGCAGCGAGTGTCAGAAGTCTCTGACCACTGGTGGTATTCCATGCTCATCCTACCTCCTCTGCTGAAGGACAGCGTGGCGGCACCGCTGCTCTCTGCCTACTACCCCGACTGCGTCGGCATGAGCCCCTCCTGTGCCAGCACGCACCGCGCAGCCAGCGACGCCACCTCCGGGAAGCTGGAGCACTCCAAGGCCGTGCCCTCCGTGCTCGGTAAGAGCTGTCCCAGCCCTCTCTGCCTTCCTTGTTATCCTGAAGTCGATTCCAGCTCATGATGACCCGTGTGTGCAGAGTAGAGCTGTGCTCCATAGGGTTTTCAAGGCTGCGACCTTTCGGAAGCAGATTGCCAGGCCTTACGACTGAGGTGCCTCTGGGTGGGCTCTCACCCCAGCCTTTCAGCTGGTAGTCTAACGCTTAACCATTTGCATCACCCAGGGACTCCTTCTCCCCCTGCTTCCGTGGAAATGTAACAGTGAGCAAACTAGAAAGGATTTCCTTTTTATGTGTGTTTGACCTGTGACACAAAACAATAAAAAATAAAAGTCTGTTACAGTCGAGTTGATTCCAACTCATAGCAACCTTAGGCAGAGTAGAACTGCCCCATAGGGTTTCCAAGGAGCGGCTGGTGGATTTGAACCGCCCACATTTTGGTTAGCAGCCGAGCGCGTAACCACTGTGCCACCTGGGCTTTTATGATACAAAACCAAAAACCCAAACCCGTTGCCATCGAGTCGATTCTGACTCATAGCAACCGTCTGGATACAAAGCACCTCATTATTGTACAAATCTGGTTATACTGCGGATCAAAGCATATCATTTATGTATACTGTGCAGTTAATTTTTCCCTTAATAATTCGGAAAGCCAGTCATACTTGTCCATGAATCGTGCCCATGGTATTTAATGTGTTTTTATTTGAAGGCTGGACAGCTGCATAATTTAGTGAAGTGAAACTCTCACTTAGCGGAAGAAAGTTCTTACCTCTATGAGCAGCCCTTTTTTTGTCTCTAAATTTTCCTGCTTCTGCATGTGCCGTTGGTATTCACAGCAAAGCGATCCTCTCCTCCAGAAGAGTCAAGGGGAGTTCCCCGTCAGGCTGGCATGCTGTTGAGCCTTTATTCTGACGGCATCTTTAATGTTCTGCACCAGGATTCTTGGTGTAGAGGTGAGAATACTCAGTCTTCCGCTGCCTGCGTACCAACAGGCTGCATTCTGAACGTTAAAGATAGGCTTCTACGCTGTGACCTTGTCTTACGGTTTTTACTAACGTCGCCAGGCCCTCTTAATATGTAGATGGTAGACACCAAAGGGTAAAGTGGTCACGCCTAGTGTTAATGAAGGTCTAATAAAACAGAAGCAAGGATGGTGAGACTTTGTCTCACATACTTTGGACATGTATCAGGAGGGACCAGTCCCTGGAGAAGGACGTCATGCTTGGTAAAGTAGAGGGTCAGCGAAAAAGAGGAAGACCGTCAATGAGGTGGACTGACGCAGTGGCTGCAACAACGGGCTCAAGCATAACAACGATTGTGAGGATGGCGCAGGACGGGGCAGTGTTTCGTTCTGTTGTGCACGGGGTCGCTATGAGTGGGAACCGACTCGACGGCACTCGACAGCAACAACGATAAAACAGACTGTCAGTGGGAATGTGTACTTACGAAGGGTAAGCGGCAGTGCACCTCAAAGCCTTAAAACTGAACACTATGACGTAGCGGTGCCGTTCTAGGAATTTATCCTAAATAAACGATCAGAAATAAGTCCAAAGAAATTCACTGTGGCATTGTTCATAATAGTGGAAAAATTGGATGAAATTGAACTATTTAGCAATAGGGGAGTTGTTAAATAACAAGTAACAAAATATCACATGGCCCTTAAAGTCGTATATAGGAGGCCCTGTGTGGCACAAACTGTAGTGCTCGACTACTAACTGAAAGTTGGTGGTTCAAATCCAGCCAGTGGCACCTCGGAAGAAAGGCCTGGCGATCTGCTCCTGAAAGGTCACAGCCATGAAAACCCTATAGGGTGCACTTCTGCCCACGTGGGGTTGCTGTGAGTCGGAACTGACTTGACAGCTACTGGTATGGGTACTGGTAAAGTCATTTAATAACGGAAAGTGTTCCAAGCACAATCAATTTTTAAAAGCAAGTTAGAAAACAGCATTTTTATAGCATTATTCCAGCTCCATTAAAAAAAAATCTGTTATGTTAATATATATTCATAGAGACGAAACTAAGGATAGATTATACCTCTAAATGTTGCCCTGTCATCTAGGGGTAATCATTGTTTAGTGATTTTTATTTACTTTTGTGAACCTATTAATTTTATAATTAAAAAAAATTAATAAAATACACTTTTAAAATATTTTAAATTTCCCTACCATGGAAATTAAAAATGTGTGAAGAAATGACGGAGAAACTATTAGTTTAATTCATTTACATTTTGTCTTAATGGAGAGAGGAAGACAGAAATATCCAGTTAGACAGACTCTTGAGCTTGTCTCGCCTATCCTTTGGAGTCTGGATTTGCTTTCTAATGTGGCTGAATTTGGAAGTTAGGTCCCACAGGAGTTACCTGTGTCTCCTCTCAGTTCCAGGCATGAACCGCTACTTCCAGCCTTTCTACCAGCCCAACGAGTGTGGCAAAGCCCTGTGCGTCAGGCCAGACGTGATGGAGTTGGATGAGCTGTACGAGTTCCCGGAGTATTCCCGAGACCCCACCATGTACCTGGCCTTGAGAAACCTCATCCTCGCCCTGTGGTATACTAACTGCAAAGTAAGTGAAGGCGTGGTAGCTAACGGTGCATTGTTTTTTAGTTTTTATTGTGGTAAAATATTAGCTGGTCGCCCTTCAGTCAGCTCTGACTCCTGTGACTCTGTATGTAACGGAAGGAAACCTTGCCCGGTCCTGCTCTGTCTTCACAACAGTTAGTCTGCTCGAGTCCATCCACTGTTGCAGCCATTGTGTATTCTGAGCGCCTTCCATCCTGGGGGGCTCATATCCCAGCGCTGTGTATTTTGACTGCCTTCCATCCTGGGGGGCTCATATCCCAGCGCTGTGTATTTTGACTGCCTTCCATCCTGGGGGGCCCATATCCCAGCACTGTGTATTTTGACTGCCTTCCATCCTGGGGGGCTCATATCCCAGCGCTGTGTATTTTGACTGCCTTCCATCCTGGGGGGCTCATATCCCAGCACTGTGTATTTTGACTGCCTTCCATCCTGGGGGGGCTCATATCCCAGCACTGTGTATTTTGAGCGCCTTCCATCCTGGGGGGCCCATGCCCCAGCGCTGTGTATTTTGAGTGCCTTCCATCCTGGGGGGGCTCATATCCCAGCATTGTGTATTTTGACTGCCTTCCATCCTGGGGGGCCCATACCCCAGCACTGTCTCGGACAGTACCCTGTTGTCCTTCATCAGGTTTTCATTGCCTGATGTTTCAGGTGTAGGTCACCAGGCCTTTCTTCCTACTCTGTCTTAATCCGGAAGTTCCGCGGAAACATGACTCTGCTCGTATTAGAAATACCAGTGGTGTAGCTTCCAGCTTCATAGCAGCCCGCAGCCACCATGGTACAACAATCTGACAGGTGGTGGTTAAATTTACACCACATAAAATTTGCCATTTTCGCCATTTTCAGTGTAAAATCCAGTGGCATCAATCAAATCCATGGTGTGCAACCACCAGGAACAGAGACTTAGTGCCCACTAAACAGCTCCCCGTGCTCCCCTCCTCCAGCCCGTTAGTGGTTACCGCTAATCTCCTTCCTGTCTGTCCGCATTTGCCTGGTCTGGATATTTCATATCCGCAGGATCATGCTATACTGTCCCTCTGTGTCTGGCTTATTCACCCAGTGTAATGTTTTCCAGGTTCAGACAGTGTTCTTGTTGAAGGAGAGGAGCTGTTTTCTCTGTGGACTGAACTTCAGACCAGGGCTTCTTAATGGCAGTGCTGTTGACATTTGGGGCTGGATAATTCCTTGTTGTGGGGTGCTGTCCTGTGCGTTTGGGGATGTTTAGCAGCATCCCTGCCTCTACCCTGTAGATGCTGGTAGCGCCCACCTCCCCAGTTGTGACAACCAGACGGTGCCAAATGGGAGTAAAATCAACCCTGCTGAGAACCAGCACATTAAAGACCATGTAACCTGAATGCTTGACATGCTAGCGAGTGAGTATAAGGTGCGAAGTTTGATTCAAAGAGTTGCAGTGGCAGTGCCAGGGGAAAATAAAGAAGATAGGATTATAAGCCCCTTGAGGACAGGGACAGTGTTATCTTCATCTTGGTGCCCTCAAACAGCCACAGCCCATGCTTTTCTCTGTGTTGGGACTCAGTAAATGTTTGGGGTATCGTATAGCACCACCTTGAAAGAGATGAAGATAAATTAGTGGTGGGGGAGAGTATACCAGTTTTATTTTATTTTTTTTGTTTTTGGTTCTCTTGACCCTAGTATTTTTTGGATTTATTCATTTCTTCAGCAGTTATTTGCGTGATTGTTGAATGCAGGACATTTTGCAAGACTGCCAAAGTAGTCTAGATAAAAGAAATATAATCCCATTTCACCCTCATCTTCCACTGGATTGGACTGAAGTGTGAGATGAGGTGACCTCGTTAAGTTATGGCTGTTGATGCAGTTTTTACCAGTTATACCCAGGTGAGTAGGTTGAGTAAGGTAGAATTATTGATTTCCTGCCAGGCGGGCTTGAGGTAGTTGCTCAACAAACATTTGCTTAACTGAGCAAAATCGTGACCAGAATTTCCTGTAAGTAAGTTGCAAAGCCATACTTTTCAGAAACAGCCTTGGATTCATTTTTATTCACATTTCTTTTTATTTGACTCTGAAATCTGACTTGCACTAGCGAAGAATCCTACAGAAAAAAATCCTAACCTTATCTGTCTGGATCTATTTTAATTTTCCCTAAGAAGATAGTATTTACTGTATCTATCTAACACTCTTGTAGAAAAGCACAAATATGTTTGCTTTAAAAGGAAGACTTGGAGAAGATTTTTTTTAATGTCACGAACACAGACACATTGTATTTACTTTCTGCGGCAATCCCAGGCCAAGGCTGTATGGGTTATTTCTTGAGTACTTCAAGTATATAGTCATCTTCCTGTATTTGATCAGGTACTGGTCATGCCGGGGTCTGGAGACAAGAAGTGGGGGAGAGGCCTGCAGTGAAGACACTTCGAAGCCTGTTCTCACTCTCTTCCTGGCCCTGGGTGGAGGCAGGGGCTTCATTATTCCTGGATTTTAAACGTACCACAGCCTTGCCAAAGCTGAGGTCAGCAAGAAAGGCAGTGTGTGTTTTTACAGGTTCCTAGATCAGTTCACCACCTCTTGTCAGCCATGGGAATCAAGCTTTTCCTGCCGTCTGTACAAGCACCAGTGGGAAAAAAGCCAGTTGTCATCAGGTTGACTCCGACTCGTGGCTCCTCCATGTGTGTCAGAGTAGAACTGGGCCCCGTAGGGCTTTTAGTGGCTGATTTTTCAGAAGTAGATCACCAGGCCTTTCTTCCGAGGTGCCACCAGGCAGACTCAGACTTTCAGCCTTTCAGTTAGCAGCCAAGCGCTTAATCATTCGCACCAGCCAGGGTCGCCAGTACAGGCAGTAGCCTGGATTTCTCTAACAGGCTTTGTGGGGAGGCTTCCTGAGTCAGGAGTGTGATGTGGTCTGCCCCCTCCCCACACTCCTCGCAGCAGGCATTTGTGGGTGAGGGGAAACCCATGTGATAACATACAAACTGCCGTATCCTCCTTTTGACCCTTTCTTTTCTTTTTACCACCAGGCAAACCCCCCTTCGTTCTTCCATCTAGTGATAAATGATGCATTTGAATTACCTTGAGAGTTGGTCTCTGTCCTTGTGTGTGTGGTAGAATATACCAGACGTAAAATTTACCATTTAACCGTTTTAAAGTCTACAGTTCAGTGGCATGAAGTATGCTCACAGTGTTGTATAACTTTCCAGAACCTTTTCATCACCGGTCCCCGTCAGCAGTCACTCTGTTCCCTTCTCCCCACATCCTCTGCCAACCTGTAAGTTGCCGTCTATCTCTGTGGATCGGCTGATTCTGGATATTTCACATAAATGGAATCATGTTGTACGTGATCTTTGTGTCTGGCTTCTTTCGTTTGGTAGAATGTTTTCAGGGTTCCTCCTTGCTGTAGAGTGTATCAGTAGATCGTTCCTTTTTATGGATGCACCACATTTTGTTTCTCTCTTCATGGTGATGGGCCCTGGGGTTGCTTCCATCTTTTGGCTAATAACATATTATCTTATGGATAATACTGTTGTGCACATTCATGTATAAGTTTTTGTGTGAACAGAACGTTTTCCATTCTTTTAGGTATATACCCAGGAGTGAGATTGCTACATCATATGGTGATTCTGTGTTTAACTTTTTGAGGAACTGAGTTGTTTTTGTAACAGTTGGTTTTCATGTCCACGTACAGGAAGCGCTCACTCCTGAGAAGTGTGTTCCTCACATCATCGTCCGGGGCCTTGTGCGCATTCGGTGCGTTCAGGAGGTGGAGAGGATCCTTTACTTTATGACAAGAAAAGGCCTGATCAACACGGGCGTTCTGAGTGTTGGCACTGACCAGCATCTTCTTCCTAAAGATTACCACAATGTAGGTGACCTTAGCTTTAGCAATAACACCGTTACGGGTCATGATGAGTGCTAATGTATTACTGTTAATCCTAATGCAAGGCACATCATTGGCATAAAAGTTATAGAAGCACGACTTTTGTAGAATATGTGTTTCTTTCCAGAAGAGAATATAAAGCACCATGTCCCTTGACTGTAGAAAAGGCAGAAGGGGCTACTTAAGACACGTAACACTATATTCATTAGGTAAAGACATCAAAGGAGCCCTGGTGGCACAGTGGGTAAGTGTTCAGCTGCTCACTGAAGGGTTGGCAGTTCAAACCCACCAGCGGCTCCGTGAGAGAAAGATGTGGCAGTCTGCTTCCGTAGAGATTTACAGCCCTGGAAACCCTGTGGGGTATTTGTTCTCTGTCCTGTAAGGGAGCTAGGAGTCGAAATCAGCTCGAGGGCAGTGGATTTAAAGACGTCAAAGAAATGTGGGTGAACTCGTTGTGTGGCGGTTAGTACCTTCCAGAACAACAAAAATCAGCATGTCGTTGTTATTACTCTAATTGGATGTTTGCTCCTTTTTTTAAAAGAAATCTGTCATCGTTGTTGGAGCCGGTCCATCAGGATTAGCAGCTGCAAGGCAGCTCCATAACTTCGGAATTAAGGTAAGATTTTGGGACACATTGTCAGAAGCAGAGGGTGAACTGTGCCTTTGGCCCATATTTTCCAAGACTTAGAAACCACGTCCTTATTTTAGCAGAGAATGCTAAATACATGGTATCTTTACCATCGATCCTAGAAAGGATACAGAGTTTGGAATTGATGTAATATAAGAAAGATAGAGGAAAATAGAAATTCCCACAGCTTTGGAGAGAGCTTTAGACCCTCACAAGCCAGTCAGGTGAGATTCTAACTGGATATTAGAGCAGAAATTCTTGACAGATTGCTACTGACGTGATGTAAAAAATAAACAGTTGCTGTTGAGTCTGTTCATACTCATGGCCACTGCATGTGTGCCAGAGTAGAACTGTGCTCCATAGGGTTTTCAGTGACTGAGTTTTCAGAAGTAGATCGCTAGGCCTTTCTTCTGAGGCATCTCAGGGTGGACTTGAATCTCCAACTTTTTGGTTAACAGTCGAGCGAATAACTGCACCACCCAGAGACACAGACACAATTGAAGAGGAGAAACTGGGAAAAAGCCCTTGTTTCTGCAGTAATTTGAGACAACAAATCACAGCATGAAAATTCTGCATTTCTTGTACAGAATTTTCTGAAATGCCTGGTTAAATTTTTATATGCAACTCTAAGACACACTTTCAGTTTACTCTGGAAAATAAAAATCTTTGCTTTTGGATGGCAAGATTGAATGAATTTAACTCATTGATTAAGACAGAATTGCATGACTTTTAAACTTACTTTGAAAGGACTTTGGTTTTCAGTTAAATTAAAACTGTGAATTGTTATGGACTACAGAGTGTAGGTTTATGGTGATGGAAAAATCACATTAAGAGTAGGATTGCACAGCCGATTCTTATAAGTGCTGTCAATAAGTTGTACACCTGTAAAAAGTTGAAGTGGCAAAAGTAGTGTAATAGATATATTTACAATAACAACAATAACAAAAGAGTAACTGCTGAGCCTGCTTATGTACAACCAAACACCTCGTGGGTTTGGTTCCTTGGTTTGGAGGTTTAGGGTCATGGTTTCATGGAACATCCCGGTTAATTGGTCTGATAATGTGTCTAGTGCTTCTTTTCTACCTCCTAGTTCATTGGGTAGTTCTGGCTTCCTAAAAGCTTGCAGGTGGCCATCCAAGACACAAGAATTGGTCTCTATTTGCCTGGAGCAACAGAGGAAGAAGGACAGTCAGAAATGGGAGGAAGAAATGGAATATTTGGCTAGTTGCCTCCATGAATAACTGCCTCCTTTGCCAGGAGACCAGAAAAACTGGATGGTGCCTGTCTACCATTACTGAACATTTTCATCAAAGATTCTATAGAAAAATCTGATCAAAGGGGGGAAAATGCTGAACAGAAATGGACCCCATGAGTCATGGAGGCTGGATGAATCCCTGAAACTATTGCCTTGAGATAATCTTTAAACCTTAAACCAAAAATGTCCCCTGAAGTCTTCTTGAAACTACACAGTAGTTTGGCTTAACTAGTAAAGAATGTCTGCCTTGAACATTATGCTCATTTAAGAACTATCTAGATGGGATCAAACTGACAACAGCAACTCAAAAGATTAGATAAGAGCCTTAGGGGGCAGTGAGTTTATGTTCCTGGAGGAGGAACAATTCAGAAAAGGAGGGTGAGAATGGTTGCACAACTTGAAAAATGTAATCAGTGTCACTATATTGTACATGTAGAAATGGTTGAACTGGTGTCTGTTTTACTGTGTATATTCTCCACAAACAAAATAAATAAAATTAAAAAACATAAAAAACCCTGTAAATTAATGTGGTAGAATGGAATTGGTCTTTTCACTGTTCTCTGTCTTGCTGAAGGACATGATGACTTCTTTTTTTTACAATATCTTCTGGAATGTTTTCAGAGGCGAGGTCTGCGGTGGTTGTGCCTAAGAGAGGTTTCCCTCTTCGGTTGAATGGAAGACCTGAATCTCGGATTACGTTATACTGCTGGCAAAACAAGAATTTGAGTTGGATTCGTAGGAAGTGTGTTTGCCTTTTGAAATCGTTTCTTTCTACCATTAAACCATAAGGTGTTTTAATTGTTCGTTTATTTATTTTAGTCTTAGATATTAGGGCCAAGGTTTTTCTTTTTTTGTTTTTTGCTTGTTTGGTGTATACTTGGAATACCACGGATTATGTTACAGGGAAGGATATTAATATCCAGAGTCCAGAGAGTGTGTCTTCAATGTTCCATCACCACCACCAGTCCATCCTGACTTGGTGACCCCATATGTGTGCTCCCTAGGGTTTTAAATTGACTGTGATGTTTTGGGAGTAGATCGCCAGGCCTTTCTTCTGAGGCACATCTGGGTGGATTTGAACTACCAACCTTTCCGTTAGCAGCTGAGCACTTAACCATATGCGCCGTCTGGGGACTCCTTAATGCTCGGCCTTCCTGTTATACTGAAAAGAAAGTAGACATGGATGTTTCTGGGTTCAGCCATAGTCTGAGAAAGTGGGCAGGGAGGGGGAAGCCCCAGGGTTTAGCCTTCCTAGATGGGGAAAATGAATAATTGAGGTCTGAGGAAGAGGAACTGTCACTCCTTTCCCTTGCTGTCCCCAGGTGAGGAGGGAGACACCCACGGAGACCACCCTCCCTCTGACGGTTAGGAAAACGCTCTCTTCTGTAACTCGGGATCCTCTTCTCCAGCAATTTAAAGTAGTGCTTTTAAGGGTCCAGGAACCTTTTGCCTGGCCTTGCACTGAATAAAAACAATCAAACCAGTTGCCCTTGAGTGGATGCTGGCTCATGACGACACAGGGTATGCAGAGGAGAACTGCGTTCCACAGACTTGTCAAGGCTGTGACCTTTCGGAAGCAGATTGCCAGGCCTTTCTTCTGAGGCACCTCTAGATGGGTTCGAAGCACCAACCTTTCGATTCGTAGTTGAGTGCTTAATCGTTTGCAGCACCCGGAGACTCCTTGCACTGAGTAGGGTTTACATGGCCTGTTAACCAAAGGAGGTGTAGCACTCTGAATCACAGGGCGGTGGGTGAGACACCCCCAGTCTACCCAAGAGCCATCCTCGGGTCTCCCAAATTAGGAATTTGGAAAAGATAAGATAGCTTGATGCAGGACCAGCTTGGTGAGGTCCAGCTCATGAGGTCATGCTCCACAGGGGCAGCATAAGGGTTTCTTGTTGTTGTGTTGTTTTAAGAAATAATTGTGTCTTAAGGAAGTTAAGGCCTGTTTGCAAAACTAAAGGAATTTTGCTTCCTATGTAGTAGTTCATAGGAGAAAAAAGTCACTTCTTCAACCAAGTTTTAACAGTGCTTTTTAGTTTATAGAACACTATTTAGTAAAAGCGATCAACAAACATTTGTTATCCTAGTTAATCGAGTCTTTTCACATCTGATTTGAGAGGAAACAGTTTGGGTGATTTTTCCGGCAGACCACGCAGTTACTCACTGCTGGAATCTGGATTGTCTGTCTCGAACATCTGTCTATTTTATCTCCTGTTCCCACCGCCCTCCTCTTAAGGTGTTTTCTCTGGTACATAATATAGTGAGTAATCAACTGTGGAGCTCATTTGACAGTGTCTTTCTATATTTTCGTAGTACAGGTAGTCCCCGACTTACGACGTATTTGAGTTACGAGGAACTGCACTGTGACCATCTCTTTTTTTTTGAACGTCATATTGTTAGTAACATGTACTGCGAACAGTGTTGCAGCGCATCATTTGCTGATGTTACGATTCTCAGTGTTCACTCACAGATGTTCAGAGATAGGATGTATGAAAATACTATTAATAAAGGCAATAATAAAAGTAAAAAAAAAAAGAGGTACCCCTCATGTCAGAACCGACGTATGGCGGAGTTGTCGGAACGTGCATCGCGCTTGGTGTGACTTTGGGGTCTTATTTGCTTTCCTGACTGTCTGTCTTTTAGGTGACTGTCCTGGAAGCCAAAGACAGAATCGGTGGCCGAGTATGGGATGATAAATCTTTTAAAGGCGTTACGGTCGGAAGAGGAGCCCAGATCGTCAATGGCTGCATCAACAACCCGATAGCGCTAATGTGTGAGCAAGTGGGTTTCTTTAAGATTTGTATTGTAGATAAAGAAAAGCAACGTGGTCTCGGTTTGCTTGTATTTAATATTAATATGCTACTAAAACAGATAATGTAATAATGCCAAAATGATTTCTTGCCCCCTGGTCCCCTCTGCAAAGTAAAAGAACAGTTACAGTTGTCCTTTTCTGAGGAGGTAGAATGAGAGGACTTAAAAGATTTCTTTGTTTTTCTAAGATCTTTGATTTTATTTGTAATGTTATTTGCAGAACTCTTGATTAGCTCATGGTTTTAGGGTTGCCAGATTGAGCAAATAAAAATAGAGGATGGCCAGTTAAATTTGAACTTTTGATAAGCAACAAGTGATTTTTTTTTAGTATAAGTATGTCCCAAATATTACATGGAATGTTTTGCGTGCAATATTGGGGACATACTTAGACTAAAAGTTTATCCGTTGTTCATCAGAAGTCCAAATGGAACTGGGCATCCTGTCTTTTATCTGCCAACCCTACAGAGTTTCTTTGAAGACCTGGTAGGTCTAGGGTTTTTTCTATAACGTTTATTGATAGTAAATTCCATTTTGACTTCTGCTGTGAGTGTTTGTGTGCCTGCGCGTTCATTCCCATAAGGGTCCACGGAGGAGGTACAATTGGAAAGCAAGGAGAAGGTGGGGCATAGCTCCAGTGTCTGAAACCTGAATAAATCTTGGCTGGAAGGTGCTTATAGGGTGCCTGGCGTGGGAGCTGTTGCCCATCACCCTTATCTTCTCCTGAAGTCAAGTCGCCAAGTGGATTTCCTGCTGTTTTCGCTGCCTGCCCTTGTTGCTGTTCCCCACGAAGTGTATTTAGCTCTGTTTTTGAGTGGCCCTGGGTGATTTTCTTTATGAGGGCTCTGTCTAATCTCAGCTTAGCACCTGTAAATATTTTTTCCAGGGAAAATGTTCACCTTCTTCTTCTTCTTATTTTTGAAGCTTGGCATCAGAATGCATAAATTTGGAGAGAGATGTGACTTAATTCAGGAAGGTGGAAGAATTACTGACCCCGCTGTGGACAAGCGCATGGACTTTCATTTTAACGCTCTGCTGGATGTTGTGTCTGAGTGGAGGAAGGATAAGACTCAGCTCCAAGATGTCCCTTTAGGAGGTATGGGGAGAATGACATTCTGGTCGTTCCACTGCGTCTCGTTCTAGCCTGAGCATGCTTATCGATGCCCCCATTCGTCCACAGGAATGGACAGTGCAATAGGAGTCGTCTTTATGAGCATTCCTTTTGGACAGGTGAATTCTTTAGACTCCTTCCTGAGTTACAGCAGAGGGAGCTCAGAACTTCCCCGGGGACCCTTGGATGCTTGTGTGTGCGTACACATGAACCTTTCTTGACGCAAGAGCTTGTGAAAAGTTACTTAAATGTTTAATTTGAAATTTCCCAGAGGAGCTTCCTTTTAAGCAATATGTGCTGAGCCCCATGGGAGCGAATAACTGGTGACCATCGAGTCACTTCTGACTCATGCTGACCCCGTGTGTGCAGAGTGGGCTTTCAAGGCTGTGACCTTTTGGAAGCAGATCTCCAGGCCTTTCTTCCGAGGCATCTCTGAGTGGGTTTGAACCACCAACCTTCTGGCTGGTAGTCAAACACATAACTTGTTTACACCACCGAGGGATACCATAAATAGTCACCTCATAATGTCGTTTCTAGGTTGGGGGGTCTGTCTGCCTAGATTTCTTCCTTTTTCCTTTTTTTGGGGCAGTAACTTAATGTTTTTTTCACTATATTTTGTTTAAGAATGTAAGAATGTATATTATAATCCAAGAATGTTAATTCTTAAAATCTTTAGGTTTTGGACTTAAATGGGGAACAGAACCATAACTCCTTAGAAATCTTGATTGCTTGTTTCCATGAGGATGCGAAACAGCTCAGATTTTACTATATTACTTCTTAAATTGATATTTAATTCATACTTTTATGACATGAATATATTCACTTGTAATTCTTGAAGGCATGTCTGAGTTTTAAAGTGTGAACATTTGAACTTAATTTGCAAGATATTAATTTGCTTCAACTACGTATTTCTCTGCAAAGAGTTCTTAGTTTCTTAGTGCTGTTCTAACAGAAATACCACAAGTGGGTGGCTTTAATGAAAAAAAAAAAAAGAAAGGCACTGAAAGTAACAAAAAAGCCCAGTGGTCCAGGGACACAATCCCAGCCCTTACCCAGAGGTCCCTCGGACATCTCTACGTTACAATACAGTGTAAGAATTGAAAATGTTCATGGGAACCTTGAGTGGTCAAAAAAGTTAAATGATAAACTCAGTTTTGTTTCTGGTCAAGCAAACGTACAATACTTTCTAGCAACTTTGCGTCTGCAGAGTGTGTTGGCTGGTGGTCAGCACTGAGAAGGTTACGAAGAAGTAACTTGTACTAAGACGCTTACAATTAGACAGACACGAGGCTGGAACCCAAACAAACAAACGAAAGCCCAGCACGGAACCTGAAGGCGGTAATTGGGAGGCCATCATGGGGCTCTGTGTACCTACTTAAAAGCTCCAGATGAATGGGATAGATAAGTGTTTGGGGTTCATAGCGGGGAGTGATTCCTGAGGTTTGCAGTACCCAGGTGATGTTGGGCTGTAAAGGGTGGATGTGGTTTGGGGAGGGGGCATTTGCTGAGGGGAGGGGTAGTAATTGTTAATTGCAGGGTTGGAGTTTACCAGGAAAAGGTACAGCAGGGCCCGGAAGCAGGCAGGTAGTCACAGCCACCTTGCAAAAGACTGAAGTGTGCTGGCCTTATTACGCGGTGGCGTTTGGAGTTTGTTACACTGTTGTTATTGTTGGGTGCCGTCGAGTGGATTCTGACTCACGGCAACCCCTTGTGACAGAGTAGAACTGCCCCGTAGGGTTCCCTAGGCTGTGCTCTTTACGGAAGCAGATCGCCAGGCCTTTCTCCCGAGGAGCCGCTGGGTGGGTTTGAACCACTGGCCGAGTGCGTCACCATTGCACACCAGTGCTCCTTGGGAACAGGCCGTCGGGAACTAATAAGGTATCGAGGCAGAGGGCTGACATGACGGGAGTCTGCCTTGGAGTGTTCCTGCTGGGGAGCGATTATAAGCAGTGTTAAAGCATTACAGGTCTCTGAGCTGGGGTGAGATGTTTAGTATGGTAGGCCTTGACTTTCAGGTGATGGCGGAGGGACAGGAAAGGGGACGCTGATCCTCTCTGAGGGCGTATGCACAGTAATCTGCAGGAGGAACTTTTTCTATATTTTGAGCAAAAGAAGAACTTGTTTCTCAAAGAAGCAGAAATGAAACATTTTTGAGAATATAGAACCCACATAGCTTTGTTTCCGGTTAAGATCAGGTTTTCCTCCCTGAGAGAAGTCAACCTTATCGTGATGCCCTTACTCCCCCCCGAGTTTACTTGGGAAAGGACTTTGGAAGTTTGGGGTTTTGCGGGGTGAAGGAGGTTGGGAGCAGTGGAGGAGGAGCTGAACAAGAATTGCTAAAGCTGTTTTTTCTGTTTTGCTGCATTCCCGTTACAGAAAAGATAGAGGAGATCTACAAAGCTTTTATTAAGGAGTCTGGCATCCAGTTCAGTGAGCTGGAAGAGCAGGTGCTTCACTTCCACCTCAGTAACCTGGAGTATGCCTGTGGCAGCGACCTCCACCAGGTGCGCTTGGGTGGGGGAAACGGGCCTGGAAGATACTTGTTTTTGTGTTTGTGTGTATTTATATATCCAAACATTGAACTCAGCCTAGTTTGGTTAAACAGGAAAGAATGATTCTGCGGCTGTGAAAAGTTCAGAAACCACAGTGTGAGAGCACGTTAACCCAGCAGTGGGTTTGAAGTGTTTTTTAGTAAAAGCAGGGGAAACCCGTCTTCAGATAATCCTGTGAGGAAGCTCCACACATCACACCAGGGAAGGAGGGCTGAAGGCTGAATCACAGGGCAGGGACCCCCAATTGGGAGCCCTGTGCCGCCACCTCCCTCCGTCCCTCGCCCTCCACTGAGGCCCTTGAGGCATTCTGTGGAGCCAGGGCTTCTGCTCCAGAAACTAAAATATAGTACCCTTGCAATTCTGGTCTGTGTATTTTGCTAAAATAGATTTAAACGTGCCTAACTCACTTACCCTACTGTGATCGTAATACTCGAGAGTTGTACATTTTAAATAGAACCTCCGTGAGTGACTCATGATGGTTTTGCTTTGTCCCCTCTGGGACCTCTCCGTTTCCATTCCAGTCTTCCTGCTGTTTTCCAGAATTGCGCTGAGTTTCAATCTTGCACCACATTCCGTGTTGAACGCAGATGGTGGATTTATGTGCGGAGTTCGTCAAATCCAGTTTCACTATCATAGAATTCACGCCTGCCGGGGTTGCTGGCAGATAAGATTAACTTGCCCAAGTCATGAATACCATTTGTTCTAAAATAGGAGTCCCTGGGTGGTACAGAGTTAATGTGCTTGGCTGCTAACCAAATGGTTGGAAGTTCGAGTCCATCCAGAGGCACCTTGGAAGATAGGCCTGGCGATCTACTTCTGAAAAATGAGCCGTTGAAAACCCTGTGGAGCACAGGTCTTCTCTGACACACGTGGGGTCGCCATGAGTCCTGTGGAGCACAGGTCTTCTCTGACACACGGGGGGTCGCCATGAGTCCTGTGGAGCACAGATCTACTCTGACACACGTGGGGTCGCCATGAGTCCTGTGGAGCACAGATCTACTCTGACATGGGGTCACCATGAGTCCTGTGGAGCACAGTTCTGCACAGTTCTACTCTGACACACACGGGGTCGCCGTGAGTCCTGTGGAGCGCAGGTCTGCTCCGACACACACGGGGTCTCCGTGAGTCCTGTGGAGCGCAGGTCTGCTCCGACACACACGGGGTCTCCGTGAGTCCTGTGGAGCGCAGGTCTGCTCCGACACACACGGGGTCTCCGTGAGTCCTGTGGAGCGCAGGTCTGCTCCGACACACACGGGGTCTCCGTGAGTCCTGTGGAGCGCAGGTCTGCTCCGACACACACGGGGTTGCCGTGAGTCCTGTGGAGCACAGGACTGCTCTGACACACGTGGGTCGCCATGAGTCGGAGATGACTCGACCGTAACTGGCTCTAAAACAAGCCTTCTTATGTGGTATTGAGACATTTCCTTCCCCTTGACAATGGTCGGGTTACCAAGGTTGGCCTGTTCTTCCTCTCCTTCCTTAATGCTTTGCCTTATTCCTGGTGGCCCTGCCCTCCTGTCTTGGGGGCCTCTTCCCATCCTGAGCCCCTGTTACTGGCCATCAGGCACAGACTCAAGGATTTGGATCACCCAGGTTCCTGCCCTCTCCTGTTGTCTCCCAGGTGTCGGCTCGTTCCTGGGACCACAATGAATTCTTTGCACAGTTTGCTGGTGATCACACCCTCCTAACCCCGGGATACTCTGTAATAATAGAAAAATTGGCCGAAGGACTAGACATTCAGCTGAAATCTCCAGTGAGTATCTACAGGGATGGGACATTCTGCCTTTGCCTTATTTGTGGAGGATGTGAAATGTGGGGCATGTGGATTACAGGCTAGTGTATGCTTTGATGTTCAGCTGGTGTCTGCAGGGACTTTAGTGACAGGTACAGTGGTGCAGGTACAGGTGAAGCCTGGGATTGGTTGCATTATCTGTATCAAATAGGTGGCTGCTGCTGTTTGGAAACAGTAGTAACTCAGATGCACTTTCGTTAATAATAAAGTGTTGAAGTATATTGCTTTAAAACAAAGCAACAACAAAACACGTTGCTCACAGCCTCCCTGGTCCAATGCAGTTATTTTCACTATTAAATTTTCCCTTCAAAGCTTTGTCCCTGTGCGTTTGTGTCGTACATTGTTGTAATCACAGAGGCAGTTTTTTAGTAGATTTCACCTAAAGATTTTCCCTGTCCGGACAGTGTTTGTAAATTTCAACAGCTGACTGATAGTCACCTGAATAGGCTGCGACTCTTGTTTGGATCTCTGAATGCCAGGGAATGACTCCCCATAGCCTTAGAGATAAAAACGTGTATAATGTTAGAATTGGAAAGGATCCTCCAGCCTGTGGTTCTGCTTCTCATTTTCTTTTTCGTAATTGTTTTACTTGGGCAGGTGCAGAGTATTGATTACTCTGGAGAAGAAGTGCAAGTTACCACTACAGAGGGCACGGTGTGTGCGGCGCAGAAGGTAACCCCTGAGATCCCGTTAGGGTCGAGCTCCTTGCTGCCAGGGGCTGGGGCGAAAGGAAACCAGTCGTTCCCACCAGGAGGTGTGCCTTGAGCCAGCTGCCTGGAGTCTTGTTTGGTTTCTGATGAGTTACGTATTTCTAGTTAATTATATGTGGATGTGCAAATCTGACTTAATTAATCAAACTGCATAGATTCAGGCGTCTCTGGGTGGTACAAACCGTTATCACGCTTGGTTGCTAACTGAAAGGTTGGTGGTTGGAGTCCTCCCAGAGGCGCCTTGGAAGAAAGTCCTGGCGATCTACTTCAGAGAAAGCAGCCATGGAAAACCCTGGAGCATGGTTCTGTTTGACACACGTGGGGTTGCCATGAGTCAAAGACGACTCGACAGCAACTGTTTGTTTTAATGTAGATTCGTGACAGATGAAATTTTGAAGAGTGTTTCTCAAAGTGGTTTCTGTGGTACATTAGTCCTGAGAGTAGAAGAAGAAAAGAAATTCCATGGCCAAATAAGCTTGGGAAGTATTATATCCTACATTCTACTCTTAGGGTTAAATCAAGTCAGAAAACCAAGCCTGTTGCCATTTAGTTGATTTCAACTCGTAGCAACCTTAGAGGACAGAGTAGAACTGCCCCACAGGGTTTCCAAGGTAATAATCGTTATGGAAGCAGACTGCCACATCTTTCTCCCGCGGAGTAGTTGGTGGGTTCGAAC